CAGAGCCAGTGAGCACACCTGCCATGCCATCTACTGGAGGAGGAGCCACAGAGAGAAAGGGAGAGGGGCAGCAAAGCCAGGAGGCTGGCCAGGTGCTTGAGACTTTCTCCCCTTAACATCAGCCCTGGCAAGCAAGCGGTATAAAGATCCCTCTAGCAAGCATAACTGGAACCACTGAAGTGGATATTCTCTTTGCTGGCTGCGCACCTCTGTCTAAGCAGGTTAGGACTGCTTGACCTTCATGGGAGAGACCATCACAGAGATTCCCCACCAAACAGGTCCTCCAAGCCAACTTAAAGAACCAAAAGACGGCATAGAACATAGCAAGTGCTCCCTTTCTTTACAATGCTCAGGTTTATGATCTCTCGCTTTCTTTTTCTCTCCCACACAGCCTTTCAAACCCCACTTCCAGCATCTTTGTAGTGGTGCAGTGAATGTGGGTAGAGCTGCAAGCTGGGCACTCTGTAGGTGGAGAAACTGGAGAACCACTTTACCACATGCAAAGCTCAACTTAGATCTATTCAGTCCACAAGGCCAGCAGCTTGATCTGCAGCAATTTTAATAATGTTAATAATGTTCAGTCATTTTAAATTAACGCAATTGCCTGTTAATTCATGCAAATCAAACTACTGTTAAAAGGCACCACTGTTCAAAATTTCCACAAAGCTAGTTGTGTTAGGTCTACTGAAGCAAATACAACAAAGAATCTTGTGGTACCTTAAAGATGAACACATTTTTTAAGGACATAAGCTTACGGGAACTGCAGCCCACTTGATCAGGTATATGAGTAAAACTTGGTAACCCTCTTGCAAAGGTGGGGACCATGTGGCCTTTCTAATGATGTTGGACTGCAATTCCCATCATCCTTTACTGTTGACTATGCTGGTTAGGGGTGCTGGGAGTTCCCCATGCCAACCCTGCTCATGACATGGAAATGAGTCTTACTGCCACAGAAGAAACCTGCCCTCAAACAAAATCTTTCTGTATCACAATAGGATAATATTGTTGAGCTAAATTTCATTCTTTATGACAGGTGTGGCCAAACCAAGGCTCAGGAGCCACCTGTAGCTCTTGCGTTTATTTTGCAGCTCACCGCTCACTACCTGGGGCGCCCGCAGGCACCTGCTTGCCAGTCACTGCTCGCCACTGCTGCCCACAAGTGCCTACTTGCTGTTTGCCTCTGCCCACAGGCACCCACTTGAGGCTCTCAAACATGTGACATTTACCAAAGGTGGCTCTTCAGTTGAACAGGTCTGGCCACCCCTGCAATGCAAGATGGTATGCTAGCTGTTAGATTGAAATGTTTCTCAGCAGGCAAAAGCGAAGAAATTAATACAAAGATAATTTATATTAGAATTGTGATCTTGCTGAAAGAAAGTCCAGCAATGGTCAAAGACAGAAAGAAAAACTAAATTAAATCTTAAATATAGTCAGGAGTTTCACATTCTTTCTCTCAAAAGCACATTTTCACATAAACAAGCTAACACTTCCTCAAATGAACACAACTAGAGTATGTTTCATATACAACCACAGTGTCTCCCCCCACCTCCCTAAAGCCACATTATCTACATCTTACTGTCCCATCCCACAGGCTTTTCAACTCTCAAACCAAAACCAAGATTCTCAGGGAAACATGCCTGGTCATCTGCTTGGCCTGTGAATCCTTCTCCCAGGCACGTGCCAGAGGCAGTGAAGGATGAACAATGAACTAGTCCGAGTAAGAGCCCAATTGCTTACTGACATGAGCCATGAACCACATACTGTTAGAGGAGAAAGCTTATGTTGTTTCCCAAGACCAAAAGAAGTAATGACAGTGCCAGAAAGGACTGCAGGAAGGTCTGCCTGCTCTGATCCACAAAATTTATGCCACGGTAAGTCTGTGCCTCTTTGTGGTTGTGGTGGTGGTTGTGGTTGTTGTTGAAACTAATACACTCCCTTTCTGGAAGCTGCCAGATATTGAGTGATCTCTTCCCAATCCAATCATCAAGTTTGGTCTTCAAGGGATGACCCATTCCTCAAAGTTTGGCAGGGCAGCTCATCTGAATTCAATCTGTGGGCCAGAGGCACGCAACTTTTGGGGGTTGGTTGGCACACACTTGAAATTTGGAGTGCCTTCCCCATTCACAGTGGTTGCCATGGTGGACAAGGCCAGTCATAAAACACTCATTTCCAAAAAGGCAAACTGATGGAACTAAAAGAAAAGTAACTTGCCCAAGCACTGAAGCACAAAGGAGAGATGAGGTCTAAGTGCCAAATCATAAGGCCACTGTGTGAATCCCAAATAAAAAATGCTGCTGGTGGGCAAGGGAGCCCTTCCCTTTGCAACATGGCAATCTTTTATTTATTAATCAATAAAATTAAAATTGGAATGGGCATGATGCCTGCTAAGCTTCGAGAAATATCCACATGCACACTGATACAGAAGGCTCTACCCATGAGACACCAGTTCTAGACACCTATATTAATATTTATTTATTTGTAATGAGCTGGATTGTCTTCTGTCTTGCTCAGTTAACCATCAGGACAATGTAGCTGTTGTCCCATAAAAGCAGAATCAGTTGATGGTCCAGCAGCATTTGGTGTTCTGCTCATGGTCCATTATAGGATGTGGCTGCATCCAGTTAACAGCCAGTCTGCTTTTCAAACCAAGTGAAACAGTGAGGCTAGTTCAGCAAAATGTACTATGTTCTCTTGGCCCAAAGTGTCCGATCAGTGACTTGTTGGAGCCTGGCATCTCCTCAGAGGCTGGAACAACTCTCTCTCTCTCTCTCTCTCTCTCTCTCTCTCTCTCTCTCTCTCTCTCTCTCTCTC